TGGTGATGGCGATTATAATTGCGATGCTGAGGCTCACGATGACGAATATGGAAACCAATATTGATATGTATAAGGGGATGATGCATATGATGACGATGATGATGCCGATAATGAGGATGAGGGTGATGGACATGGTGATAGTGATGCTGCCGTGATAGTGGTGATGGTGATAGTGATTGCAGTGGTGATGATGTAGATGGTGGTTGTGGTGCGGAGGATGATACTGCCGCCGCCGCCGACGACGACAATGACGACGATGATGAGGATGCTGATGCTGATGCTGATGCTGATGCTGATGCTGATGCTGATGCTGATGCTGATGCTGGTGATGATGATGATGATGATGATGATGATGATGATGATGATGATGCTGATGATGATGATGATGATGATGGTGATGATGAGGATGATGATGGTGATGGTGGTGGTGATGATGATGATGATGATGAGGAGGAGGAGGAGGAGGAGGGGAAGGACGAGGAGTCGATGAAGGACGACACTGAAGCGGAGGAGGAGGAGGAGGAGGAGGAGGAGGAGCAGGAGATGGAGGAGGAGGAGGAGGAGGAGGAGGAAGAGGAGTGAGAGGAGGAGGAGGACGAAGAAAATGAGGAGAGACGCCTCCCGCGCGCGCGCTGTGCTCCAGGCGCCAGGCGGCGGAGCTGGCCGCTGGGCCCGAGCCCAGGGCTGGCCAGGGGCTCTGTGGGCGGCTCGGGGCCCGCGCTTCTGGCGGCCGATCGGGGCCCCAAGGTCCATTTCGATCCGCTCGATTCGATCCAATGCTGATTTCGACCCGCACGATCCGGCTCCATGCCGCACCATATACGATCCCATGCGGCCCAATGTCTGTATGGCGGCGGTGTGTGCACGTTGGCACGGCCGCTACGATTCGATTCCGACTCCGTGCCGATGCAGTCCGATCCGATGCACATCATGTCGATGCTGACTGCTCCTGCCCCAGCTCGGCCGTGCGCGGTGGGCGGCCTCCTGCAAGAGGGCGGGGGATCCTCCCAGAAGGCGGGGCCCTCTCGGAACTCATCTGGGCCTCTCCGAGAGGCCTTCGCAGAAGCTCCCGGGCCCTTCGCGAGAAGGCCCGTGCCTTGGCAACCGACTGAAGTCGGCGGTGCTCGTCGTCGTCGTCGTCGTCGCTGAGCGGTGGCGTGGGCCGCCGAAGCCCGCTCCCCCAAGCCCCGCAACCCCCAGGTCGTTCCGATCGATCTTGGAAGATCCGCTCCGCCGAGAAGTTCCCCCCTGGTCGGACGGAGAGGCGCTGGTGGTCCAAGCCGATCCGGAATCGCCGGGGGGAGGTTGCGGGGAGGTTGGGACTCGGTTGGTGGGGGGGGGTCCCCTTCTTCTTCGTCTTTGTCTCCTCCTCCTCCTCCGTAGCCACTGTGGCGCAAGGCGGCTTCTGTTGAGTTGCGGCTCAAGCGAGCCTCGGCATGTTCTGAACCGCATCTTGATGTCGGTTTTGTTTGGTTATCTGACATTTCTGGTTTGTGTGATGGCGTTCGGCGGTGGTATCGATTTGGCTTGTGGTACAGTGTCTCTTATCGCCGCAAAGGCGCTCAGGTTCGTCACGGCGTTTTATGGCAAGCACGATTCGGGATTGCGCAGTGCTGTGCATGGGTGTCGGCGTATTATTTCGAATCCTGTCTGCCGACGGCTTCAACATATCGGCATTACCCATCCATTTCTTCGACATGTTTCAGATCCGTGGGAATCCATTCGAGCTGCTGGAGGCCGAGTTGCGCGCTGGTTTCCCAGGCTCCCATGGACGTTTATGTGCCCCGCGATGGCAATGTCGTGCACGCCAGGCGCCTGCTGGATTTCTCGATCATCTTGTCGCATCGCCCTCTTGCTTGCGTCACGATGCACTTGTGTTCGTTTCGCGCCTGCTGGATTCTTCGGGGCGGTGCAACAGCAGTTCACTTCACCAGTGTCGGAAGCGGTGCTGGCGGCGGCTCGGCTCAGTATGATGATCACTTTGACTTGTGCCACAAGCTAGCGGAGGCGCAGAACTCGTTTAGCGATGCTCCAGGGCACTCTGGAGATGCAGGGAGGCGATGTTCCTCTTTCGCTCGCTTCTTCTATCTCCGCAGCGCCATGTTGTCCATCAGTTTCTGGTTCCCTTCGTTCTGGCAGTGAGGCCAAGGAAACGAGCCCCGAAGTGTGTAGCCGCATTGGCGCGCTCGAGACCCATGTTCAAGCCATTCACTGTTCGTTCATTGATGATTTCAATACGATGTGCAGCGATGCGGTTCCAAACGTCCTTTGCCAAACTGTTCCAAGTATTGTTTCGGGTTCGGTGGAGACGTGTCTGGATTCTTGCCTTGAGCTCTGTTCTCGCAAGGTGCACGAAGTGGCCGACCAACCGCCTCGTTCGATGTCGTTGGTGTGGGTTCGTGTCCAGGCACTGGAAGGGAGCCCGCGACAGGCGGTGGCCCACATTCGTCTGTCGACTTCCGACTTCAAGTGGGGGCTTTCCGTTCTCCTCGACCCCAGGGCCGCTTTCTGGCAATATTGCAGAGATTGTGTGCAAGTACGGTCGAAGGTGCCACAGGCTCGACGGTGTCTTTCGGCATCCAGAGGGCCGCACCAACGAGGACAAATCGAGGTGCAGGCTCTTCCCGCCGAGCGGAACGGCGGGTTGGCTCTCGTAGTCCGCTTCCTCGGGCTGCGGTTTCCTGCGGCGCAGTCGGTTATCCGAGGTCTGACCGCATCGGCCCTGATTCGGAGGAGGATGAGATAATTGCCAGAGTGCGCATGTCAGAGTTCAGCGACAAGGACGGCGGCGGCGCGTGATCTCCCAGCCTCGGTGTTTTCAGCACGGTCTGCGGGACCACGGAGCTGGCATCTTGTTCGCTCGCCTCCTCGACGCTCTTTCTCTCTCTCTCTCTCTCTCACATCCTGCACCTTGTGTTCGTCGAGTTTATTATGTGTGGCATGCGCCCTCTCTCCATTGCCACCTAGTGGCGGGCTGTTTCTAAGTTCATATGCGTTGCGCTAGCGTCTCTTTGGCTACGCCCCGCCTTCTCATCCTTCTCCTCCCCCCCTCCTCCATCCCTTTTCCTTATTCATATATTTGGGAGCGAAGAGTTAGCGGCGAGCAAGTCGCCCGAACGGCCCGGCGGAAAACGCAGCGGGGAATTAACCGCATAAGTGCAAACGTATGCAGTGGGGACCGGTTGGGATCTTTGTCGCTTATTGTAAAGGCCTTGCGGCCGATGCCGCCGACCCTGAAGACGACGACGCTGACCGCGACGAGGTAGGATAACGAGGAGGAGCAGGAGGAGGAGGAGGAGGAGGAGGAGGAGCAACAGCGTGAAGAGGTGGAGGAGGGCGCGGAGGACGTGGAGGATGTGAAGAAAGAGGAGGATGAGGAGGGGGAGGAGGAGGAGGAGGAGGAGGAGGGAAGGGAAGGGGGAGGGACGAGGACGCGGAGAAGCATGAGAGGTGGATGAAGAGGTTGAGGGGGGGCACCTGGGGGGGCAAGGGGGCAGGTGGAGAAGTTGTGCGATAGTTGGGAGGGCTGGCCCACCAGGCGGGAAGCACGGTCTCCCTGTGCTGCGTCGGGGAAAACAATGTGATTGTGCGGAATTGCACATTCGCGCTCACATGGTGCATCGGCTTGCAGGATCTGGATGGCGGAAAATTCGCAATGGATGCGCCATCTACCAGCATGCGGGGGGGGTCGCCACCGAGACGTGGGGCTGTGCGGCCACCGCGCTACTGTGTATACACGGTTGGGCTGCCGACGACGAGGACGCTGACGTGAGTGACAATCCTCAGGGATGTTTCTTGGGGTCTTCTCTTGGCCTCTGGGGGGCAGTTGGAGGTCCTGTTGCGAGGCTCTTCGTGTGGGTCTCTTGGGGATCTCGGGGCTTCCTGGGGCTCTCTCGGGGGCTTCTTGGGGTCTCTTGCGGGCCTCTTGGGTTTTTGTTGCAGCTTCTCGGGGCCGAAAACAAAAGTTAGCAGTAAAAGCCAGTTGGGGTCGTCGCTGCTCATTTTAAGGGCCAAAAGGAGTTGCTAACTTTCGGGTTCCTTTGTGGGTCCACTAGTATTTCCCGCCGCGATGGCCCCAAGAGCCCCCCAGTGACCCCCGGAACGTCGCCACGAAACTCCAGACGCACTTAAAAGGCCCCCGGGAGGCCCCCCAAGCCGACCGGATGCCCCCGAGAACTCTCCAAGAGGCCCTGCGATGCTTTACAGGAGCGGCGGGTGCGGGATGCGCAAAATACCAGGAATGCCGACGCGGAGCGAAGCGTTCACACAAGTAGTGACTATGTGGGCGCGGGGTGAGGGGTGCGCCCTAGGTGCTCTGCTGAGAAATGGTGGAACAGGTCTCAAATTCAATGGCGGCGCTGGGGGGTGCTGGCGAGGCGCGAGAGAAAAGCTTTGGAAACACGAACAGTCTTCGCCAATGTCGGCACGCCTGGTGGAGCAGTCTGGGGACCTGGACGAGGCGAAACAGCAGTAGGATGTGAACGGAATGTCTGGACTCTGCGTCGACATTCCTGGCGCTTCGCGTATCCCGTCCCCCCGGGTCCGCGGCGTTGGCCCGCGATCCGCGCGAGGGGCGCGCCGAAATAGGAGGGCACCTTTCGGGTCTCCAGGGTCTCCTGGAGTACCCGAGTGCGTCTCAGAGGCCTCTTGGAGGGCTCTTGGGGGCATTTTTTGTGTTGTTTGCCTTTTCGGGGGCCTCTTGGGCGCGTCTTGGGTGCCTGTTGGAAGCCTCTTGGAGCCTCTATGGGGAACTCTGGGGGTCACTGGGGGGTTTGGGGGGCCGTCGCGGCGGGAAAAAACAGTCGGCCCAAAAGTTTACGGTGGCGATCGCGATTACTCGCGATTGCTATCGCTCAAAATCCAGATTCGAGGGTTTTGCGTACATCAGACACCGGATTTTTGTGATACCCGCATGTGCCCTTTTTCCGCCCCCTGTGGACGCCCCCGCTTGCACCGAAAATAGAGCTCCTGCGCGATACAGTCGCACCGCTGCTAACAACATGGCCAACATCACGGAGACGGGGCTTTTCGACCAGGTGCCACGTGTGTAAAGATATCTCAAACAAGCCACCATTTGTGTGGTACACGCGGCTCTCGTTGCTAACTTGAGAGGCCCCGAAAACATACTAATAGTCCGGCCCCCGTTATGATTCCTCCCTGTTGCACCCCCAGGCGCGTGGGTAGGGCGGGCTGGGCGTTGTGCATGAGACTTCTTCGCCACTTGTGATCCTGAAGCTTGAAATGTGCAATTGTTTCACGAATGGACGGCGGCCCGTGTTCAAAATGTTGGCATTGCTTTAGCGACGTGTCCATTCGCTTCCAAAGTTTGCATCAGCTTCGCGGATGGAGGGCGGGCGGTTTACAACATGCTCTCGCTTTAGCGCCGCGCCCAGTCGTCCTTAAAGTCTGCAGCATTTGCACGGCTGGAAGGCGGGCTGTTTTCAAGATGTGGTTCTCGCCTTAGCGCCGCTTCTCTTCATTTTCATTATGTGCAGCAACTTCATCGATGAAAGGCGGCTCTTTT